GTTTCATAAAATCCAGATGCTTGGAAACTTGATTATTATGGAAACTAAAGGCAATGGCTTGGTGAAACATATATGATATGTTTAGGCAATGTGTTGTCACTTGGCTGAACTAGGAGTTGTATAGAGATATAATTGATAAGCTCAGTTACCTACCTAATGCACCTATCATGGTTTGTTGAGCACACTCAAGGTCAGGATTAGAATGGATGAGGATCCTAGCCCACTAAAAGAATCCTTGTAGAGATCTCTTGAGGTGATATGAAGGGTTATCATCTTGAAAAAAATAGTGGTAGCAATTAATTTAAGATTTACTATCTCATCTTAATTGATCATAATACATATTACTCATAAACATTCTTAAATGTCTAGGTTTGTTAGAATGCGAACACATATTACTTTGCGTGGCATACTTGATGTCATCATGAAATTTGGGCCAAAATGTTTGGATTGGTCTATCAAGTTGAGAAACGTTCTCAAATATCTATTAAGAATAGATATCATTAAGAAAGATATCTTAACCTTCTTGAAAAGGTCCAAGAATGGGAAACTTGTAGAAGTTTCATGTTTGACCATGTATATGATTGAAGTAAATCTGTCTACTATTGATCCATCATCATGGGTATTAGATACTGGATATGGGTCACACTTATGTAATGACATGAAAGTGTTAGAACTAGCAGAAGATTAACGAAGGGAGAGGTGGTCCTTAGAGTAAGAAATGGAGCAAAGGTTGCTGCATCGGCGGTAGGGACAGTTACCATACCTTTACCATCTAGGTTGATTTTGGAAATAAGAGACTGCTACTATGTTCCTTCCATATCTCCAAATATCATATCTGTGTCATACTTGGCATTATATGATGATATTGAATTTTGCATTTGGGGCAATTATTGTTCTTTCTCGAAGGGAGAGATACATTATGGTGCAGGGACACATTCGAACGGTCTCTATATTCTTGAATCTAAGAGACCCATACTCTATATAAAAGTCAAGAAAGCAAGGAAAGATGATCCAAAACTATCATATATCTGGCACTATAAGCTTGGACACATTAATGAGACTCGCTTAACCAAGTTACACAAACAACATTTTATCGATCCATTTAATTATGAATCTTATGGAACATATGAGTGTTGTCTCCTCGGTAAGATGACCAAGTCGCCTTTAACCAAGAAGGGTGAACGATCTGGGGTGTTACTAGGACTTGTACATACAGATGTATGTGGTACTATGAACACTAGTGCTAGAGGAGGATACTGCTACTTCATCACCTTCACAGATGACCATTCTTGCTATGGTTATGGCAGCAATGGTGATCAAGGATTCGAGGAAATTGTGAACTATATGTGGAATTTAAGTTAAAACTGCAAGGTAAGCATGCAATGTGACTACATTGTGTTGTGTGGGCTTTAATTGGTTGAAAGTATATGGATTGCATGTTAAATGATAGTGAATAATATTGATGAAAAATATGAAATTAAGTTAAGGATTTGTTGATTGACGTGCTGCCTGTATGTGAGTACAATTAAGTGTATTAGGTTTGAATTGTTGCTAGGAAATGTGTGAAAATGGAAAGTTGCCACGGTGGTCTGCCAGAAGAGGTAACGGATGACCGATAACTAGAATTAGCTAGATACACACCCAAATTAATGGTGATGTAGTGTCTCTCTATTGTAACGTGAGTAAAGGGTGTCTATTTCAAAATTTTCGTACTATATATATACCTATCGATATACGATTAATAAACGAGTCGGTTTGGTTTAAATGCAATTTACGGACAACATGTGTTGTTAGCCTTGGTAGGTGATTTTTAAATGGATTTGCAATCAAGTTATATTGAATTTGTGAACAGCATGAGTTGATAGAATGTTAGGCTTGTGAATGCCATGTTTTGAGAAATGTTTTGTATATATGTATATATTAGCTACATACGTAAAAAGTTTTAGAAATCGAGAAACATGCTTTTTACCATGATTTATGTCAAAACATGTCTTATTGGTTTGTGTGATGTGCATTCATGAACAAATTACATATATTCACCATGCTGATTTGATATTTGAACTTCATGCAAAGACTTTCTATTATAAGTCTTACCAACGAGTTTATCATGTCACCATGAATGGTATTTTTTTGGAAATAGTTTTAGAATGAACTTTTGAGAACCCAATTTCTTTTAAATGGTTTGGTCAAATTGAGAGATTCGAGAGTAGGTTGAATGTCACATCAGGATAGTGTAACCCTTGTGTGAGCTCTAGCTAGAGAACCTTTGGGTCACTGATGGGCTATTAGACATGGCTGCAGCCACTGTCTATGATGTATATATGTGCCTAGGCCACAAGTTGTTGTACATGGTTGTGACCACTTGATTTCTCCGATGTCGGCCAACATCGTTGAAACTGCCATGGCTGTGGAAATTCGGTGGAGCAAAGCTCCCAGATGTTATTACATGTAAGTAGGTCCATGAGTTGATTACTGCAATTACGTACATGAGAGTGATATCTCTTTAGGTTTTCAAACATGAATTCTTTTGCATGGTGAGAATTACAAGTTTTTTTGTAGCTTCGTTGTTTGTACAGTGATTTTTTATTTAAATTCCTCAAGGACAAAATGATTTATGAACTTGTGTATAAGTTCTAGTAATGATTGGTTTTATGGAAGCATGCGTGATTATACTGATTTGGTTGAAGTAAAGTTGTTAAATGATTTCGACGATGGAAATCTTTACTTATATTGGTTTCGGTACTTGATTTAAATGATTATCTTGCATTAAAATTCTTAGTTTTACATGTAAGGCACAAATCTCCTTTTTGAGTTAAATTGTTTACATATATTTTTATATTTTTAATATTCAAATTTTCTATCCTTAGCTTGTTTCCCACCATACCCTACTCAAGGAGCTGATGATCAATGAGTTTGTGAGACTCACCCCCTTTATCTTCCTTTTGTAGATAAGTGATCAGCTCAAGTGTATTGCCTTAGCATTTTGATTCGCTGCGACGTAAGTAATGGCATCTCTTAGACTTTCACTCCGAGTCACTCTGCTGCATAGGGGTCGTGTTGTGTAAAACATTTGGATTTTTAAAACTTATGAGGTTATCAGAATTGTATTTCTAGAACTTAGAGGTTGTGTAATGAATATTAAGTGTGATGTTGAATTTGTTGAAGGTTTATCGGAATTGGATATTGTCATCTGGTAGCTAGCTATTAATTACAAATGTTTATTTGGTTTAAGTAAATGATAGTATCACTATTACTAGTCGACTTATATACATAAAAGAATGTTTGGATTTGATTATTCAATATCTCAACTAAGGCTTATTCGGGATTTAGCGGGTTTATTCACAAGTCTTGAATGTCGGTAATGAATGGGGAGAAGTTCATTACAAACTTGGTATTAGAGCCCTAGGTTTAGTTAAGTCTTAAGAATTATTAGATTAGGTAGCGGAGTAGTTAGGTCAACATAAAGTCTTACTTATAGTTAGTGACTATAGCATCGACTATGGGTAGGAGGCTACGTGAACTTCTTTATACCTATTAGAAAACTACCTTGTGTAATTATAATAGACACTAAATAATGAGAATTGATTGCCGATGTCCAAGTTTGAGATACTGCCTCGGACTCGAGTATCTTTGAGGGTTACGGGTGAGCCAGACGCGCCCAAAAAGATAAATGATCGATTACGGGTTTCTGTCTCTCGAAGTCGAGGTCGTACTAGAACAAAGGGGAAGAGGAGTTCTCGAGATTCAAGTGATTGTAGTTCTAGTGATCAAAGGAGTGCTAGTATGGACAGCAATAGGCCTGGTGGACCTATTCTAGAGAGCGCTACTTTGGATGAGTTACTTGCCAGATTGCGAAATTTGATCCAGTAATTTACAAAATTTACTAGGCACTATGCTAGTGTGGTTGAAGAGTATATGGATTCAAGTTTAGAAGATCCGAATTATGACCTAAATATGAACATGATAGATGAGGAAGGGCCAGATGAGGAGGACGAGGATGATTCAAATAATGATGAAGGAGATGAATTAGTTTCGCTGTTCGCATTTATGAAGCTAAAACCTCCATCATTCACTAGTTCCACCATGGGAAAGGACCCACGTAGATTTTTGGATACCATGGAAAGGATTTGTGGCACTTTAGGAACTTCAAGCACAAGGTTAGTAACATTGGCTAGTTTTCGTCTTGAGGATGTGGCACAGTTGTGGATTACAACATACATGTGGGGTAAACCTAGTAATGCTGGTCCACTTGGTTGGAAGGAATTTGATAAAGCCTTCATGGATAGATTTATGCCTCGTACTATGCAAGCGGCTAAGGCTAGAGAGTTTGAGGCCTTAGAGCAGACACCCAAGATGATGGTATTTGAGTATGATGTGCAGTTTACGCAATTGTCTAGATACACCTCATACCTTATGTCTTTTAAAGAAATGAGAGTGAATTGGTTTGTGACTGAATTGACTAAGTACCTATTTAAAGTTGTTGTTCTACAAAGGACTGAGTACCTATTTCGATGTAGTGGATTGTGCTCGATTAATAGAGTGCCGTAGTATAAAGGCTAGAAGACTTTGTGAAAATACCAAAAGGATTAAAACTGAAGGGCAAACTAGTCAAAGAAATATTAGTCAAGAAACAACCTTTGGAAGGTCAAGTAGACTTGGTTGAAGGGATACTGCTCAAAATAGAGGGCAAGTTTCAAGTAGGTCTCAAGGGTCGAGGAGAAATCCCTAGTTTAGAAGTCCACCTTGTCGTGAAAATTTGTTTGGAGCAAGTAATTGTCTAGGATCTGGTAATGAAATGACTAGCTCTAATAATCGACAGATGGGCCAGAAGAGTCCTTATTGTGCATGTTGTGGTATTACGCATGTGGGGCCATGTGCTCAGTCATATGATGTATGTTTTAATTGTGGTTAAGTGGGACGTATGCAAAAAAGCTGCCTCTATGGTGGTTGATCACAAACAATTGGTGATGGGTTTGTTCAACCAGCATCCACAGTAGCATCTGCAGTTACACCTTCAGCTAGGTGAGGTTGATCCGATAAAGGCAAAGGAATAGCTTCTACCTATCGATCTCGACCTACTGAGTCAGCACCATTAGGTAATTTTGGATGAGGATAAGCGAGAGTATTTCCCATGGGTTCTCAAGATGTGCCTGCTTCTAATGATGTGGTGACAGGTACTCTTTTAATTTGTGATTTTGAAGCATTGGTATTATTTGACCCTAGAGCTACCCATTTTTTTGTTTCCTCAAATTTTGTGTCAAAATTGAATAGACTTTGTGAAGAAATTTATATGGCAAAGTTTCTCTATAAGTTTTGTGTAGTTCAAATTAATTATCGGGAGACATTGGTTGATTTGGTGTTATTAATGACCATGGGATTTGATGCGATATTGGGAATGGACTGGTTGTATGATTACTATGCCAATGCCGATTGTTACTATAAATATGTGGAATTTAAGTTTCTCGAAAAAGTTTTTTTTATTATTTATGGACATAAGAGCCCATGCAATAAAGGAATATTAGCGGGAGTAACTAGTGTGGAAACAAGACAAAATTATTTGGTATGAGTAGTAGCCAAAGAAGATGCATTAATAGAAAAAGAGGTCCCAGATATTAAAATGGTGCCAATAGTAAACGAATTTGAAGATGTGTTCCAGAAGAATTGTGAAGGTTGCCCTCATAAAAAGAAGTTAAGTTTTGCATTAATTTGATTCCTAGCACGGAACCAATATCTGAAGTTCCTTACTGGATGGCACCAGCAGAGATGCATGTACTACGAGAGCAATTACACGAGTTAGGGGATAAGGGATTTATTCATCTTAGTACTTCACCATTGGGAGCTTCGGTATTATTTGTAAAGAAAAAAGATAGAAGTTTGAGGTTATGTGTGGATTATCGAAAGTTGCACAGTGTGACTATTAAGAATAAATACCCACTTCCCAAGATCGACGATTTATTCGATCAGCTGTAGGGAACACGATGTTTTCAAAAATTGATTTACACTCTGGGTATCATCAGTTAAGAATTCGGGAAAAGGATATACCAAAGACTACATTCCATACAAGGTACGGGCATTTTGAGTTTATGGTAATGTCCATTGGTTTAACTAATGCTCCCACCACTTTTATGGATCTAATGAATAGAGTATTTCAGGCCTATTTGGATAGATTTGTGGTGGTGTTTATAGATGATATCATGGTGTATTCTCGAAGACCTGAAGAACATGCACAACATTTTCGAATGGTGTTGCAGACACTTCAAGAACATGAATTGTATGCAAATTTCTCTAAGTGCACTTTTTTGTTGGAGAGTGTTCGCTTTCTTGGACATGTGATATCGAAAGAAGAGATTAGTGTGGATCCGCGAAAGATTGTATTGATTCAAACTTGGCTAAGACCGAGTACGATTATCCAAGTTTGAAGTTTTCTCAACTTGGCTAGGATTTTTGTGGATTAGTGCAAGATTTCTCAAAAATCACAGCACCATTGATGAAGTTGGCATGAAAGGGAGCTAAGTTTGAATGGCCTGATGAATATGAAGATAGTTTCTTAAGACTAAAAGAGTGTTAGATTTCGTTACTAGTCTTAAGTTTACCGAATGGTCCAAGGGATTATGTTATGTATTGTGATGCCTCAAGAGTTAGATTGGGATATGTGTTGATGAAAAATGGTAAAGTTATCATGTACGCCTCAAGGCAACTCAAGAGGCACAAGCAAAAACTATTCTACTCTTGACTTGGAGATGGCAGCAATAGTATTCGCGTTAAAGATTTGGCGTCGTTATCTATACAGAGAAAGCTTTGAAATATATACTGATCACAAGAGTTTAAAGTATATATTTCAATAACATGATCTCAATTTAAGGCAATGCTGATGGATGGAATTGCTCAAAGATTACGATTGTAGCATTCAATATCACCTTGGTAAGGCGAACGTGGTGGCTGATGCTTTAAGTAAAAAATTTATGGGGAGTTTGGCACATTTGTCTGCCGAATGAAGAAGTATAATGTGTGGATAGAAAAGCTTAAGCAGTATGGGTATCAAGATCTATATTGGTGGGCCTAGTGCCCTTATTGCTCATTTTCAAGTATGACCAATGATCTTGGACCAAATTCACAGTGCTTAGGATCAAGATGAATTTGTGATGAAAATCTTGGAATTTGAAGAGCGAGATTAGAAAATTATGTATGGAGACGATGGATTGTTGAAGTATGAATCCTAAACATATGTGCCAGATTGAGATAATTTGAGATAAGAGATTTTAGAGGAAGCTCACATTACTGCCTACACTATACACCCAGGAGCCACCAAGATGTATCACGATTTGAAAATGGTTTATTGGTGGTTAGGCATGAAGAAAGATGTAGCTGAATATGTGGCCAAATGCCTAACTTGTCAACCAGTTAAGGCTGAACATGGGAAACCCCCAGGTTTGCTACAACCCCTGTCGATTCTCAAATGGAAATAGGAACATGTGGTTATGGATTTCATGACTGGATTACCCCATGTCAGAGGGGAGTATGATTCGATTTGGACAATAGTGGATCAATTGACTAAATCTGCTCACTTCATTTCGGTAAAGACTAGCTATGGGTCAGCTAAATATGCCAAAGTTACATTGATTGTATTGTACCACTGCATGAAGATCTTGTGACCATAGTATCTAATCGAGGGCCACAGTTTACTAATAAGTTTTGGAGAAGTTTACATGAAGCTTTAGGAACTCGTTTAGACTTTAGTACTGCATATCATCCACAAACAATGGTCAGTCTGAGTGCGTGATACAAAAGCTTGAAGACATGCAAAAGTCAATAGTGTTGGATTTAAGAACCACGTGGAATCAACAATTATCTTTAATGAAATTCACATATAACAATAGCTACCAAGCTCGTATTAGAATGGCTCCTTTTGAAACATTATACGAGCAGAAATGCAGATCACCCGTTAAATGATTTGAAGTGGGAGAAAGGAAATTATTATGCCCCGATTTGGTGCAACAAGCAATTGATGTAGTGAGTTTGGTGAGGGAAGATCTAAAGCAGGAAAGAGTAGACAGAAGTCTTACGCAAATAATAGACGATGTCCTTTGGAGTTTCAGTTGGGAGATTTTGTATTTTGAAGGTATCTCCACTGAAACAAAGTAAAAGATTCAGAAAGAAAGGGAAGTTGAGTCCAAGATATATTGGGCCTTTTTTGATTTTGGAAGGAATTGGGTTAACAACATATCGACTAGCTTTACCGATGGAGTTAGGTCATGTGAATCCCACTTTCATGTGTCTATGTTGAGAAAGTATGTTAAGGGCCCGACACATGTTATACATTATGATTTTGTTCCTTTGGATGAAGGGTGAACGTTTGGAAAACAACTAGTAGCAATACTAGATCGACAAGTGAAGCAACTATGCTCTAAAGAAGTTGCCTCAGTAAAGATCTTGTGGCAAAATTGCTCAGTGGAACAAGCAACCTGGGAGCCCAAATAGGAAATGAGGAAGGAATATCCACACCTCTTTCAAGACTAAGGTATGCTTTACCAACCCACTCTGTTTAAATTCGACGACAAATTTGTTTTAAGTGGGGGAGATTGTAACACCCCATACTCTTGTATAGAAGCCAATAAGGCCTTATCGATAAGACAAAAGATCAATTGATATAAATTTAAGCGTCAAAGAGTGGTGATGGGTGAAAGGAATATTTTAAAATAAAATATTTTACATGCAAGAAAATAATAATTAAATAATAATACTATTATTGAGGATGAATTAACGAGTTAAAAGGAGATTTGGAAGTGAACCGGGGCAAAGTGAGACATTTTGCGACCGAGGAGACAAATGGAGGATTTTAAAATAAAATAATATTTTATTAATAAAATAATATTAAAATATTAATATTTTATCTATTGTTGGAATTAGTCATGAAGGCAGACTATATGACTAATCTAACTGAGGGAGAAGAAGTAAGAAAGAATTTTAAAGAAAAAACAGCATTACTAGGACTCGTGTGTCTTTCTTAAATAAAGTAAAAACGGGTAAGTATATATATAAATATTATGGTGACACCTTGATGAGGTGCAAATTTTATATTTTATTTATACAAGTGTAAAAGAAGAAAGATAGAAGAAAATTGGAATTGAAGAAATGTGGGAGGGACCAAATTGTAAAGAATGAAAAGTTAGAGGTTCGAATGGTAAATAAAGAAGAATTTAAGGACTTATGTGCAATTTCAACATTTGAAGTTAAATGGAAATTAACTAATCTAGGAAAGCTAGATTATGTGGGACAATGAGATGTACATGTGAATTCACTATTACATGCAAATTATAGCATGCAAACAAGAGAAAGTTAGTGGGGAACATATGGGACCCTTACTATGTGAAGTAAAAGGAAGAATAAGACTAAATTTATTTGCATTTAATGAGATTGGTGCATTGGGTGGCTAAATGAGGAAAGAAAAATGTGGATGCATGTGACTTAAATAGATTAATGAATGATCAAATAAAATATAAAGTGAAGCTTGTGCATGAAATGCAATTGGAGGAATAAGGTGGTGCATG